AAGTTGTTGAATCGGTTGGTCTCTGATTTTATAAAAAAATTCCCCCAAAGAGTGTGACTTGTAGTCCAGTGCGATTTTTGACCCTTTTTGAGCCGATTTTTCGCTCGTGCGACTGTTTTGGGGATCGAGCCGAGTTTTGGCTTCATCGTGTGTCGTGCTTCGTGTAGTTTACATGGGGTAAAGAGAACCGATTAATGACTCACGACCAGCTCCCGATCGACATTCATAGGTCGCAAGAAAATCAAACTTGTCTGAAATCCAGTCGCCTCTCGTGAGGATTTCGCTCTGTTGAAGTTGTTCCACGAACCGATTTGCCAGAATCTGGCAGACTGCGCATGCGCGGACGCAGAAGTGGCTCAGCATTGTGTCTCCGCACATCTGTGGTTTTCTAATTCCGTGGTTTTCTTCTTCGTGGTTTTCTACTTCCGGAACAACAACTTTGACAACTCCGGTCGTTATGTGAACGTACAGTGTGAGCAGGCAAGTCGCATCCGAGCATCGGTTCGTTCAGTGTGAGAACATGATTCGTGAGCTGTGAACTGTTAAACCCTGTGATTTGGTCGTACAGTTTAAGCTGGGGCTGAGTGACACGACCGAAAATATCGCACAGTGTACACCCGGCGTTATATATGTTTTTTTTCTTCTTTATTATAATTTTTTTGGCTGTTGCGACTTATACTTCGGAGTGATTTACAGTCCAAAAAATACGGTAAAACTTTTGACAAACCTAATACTACATGTATGTGTTCAGTTTCTTTGTTGAAAATTTTGTGAACATTGGAAAAATATTATACAGTTCTGTTTTATAGTTTTATAGTTTCAACCTTTAAATCTAGTAAGAAATCATCATATTATTTCACGTTTTGGGACTGCCGCAGCTATAACTTACAATGACATTAGAGAACTCGCTGTTCTCTAAATGAAAATCCTCCCTGTTATGTGGAATAGGTACAATTCAAATAGACCAGCTGGACAAAAGTTTGGCTCACAACTCTTGTATCTTCTCTTGTGTAATTTTTCCAAACTCTACTTACTTTTAACATCCAGAGACACTTCATTGGGTTCATGGTTAATGGTATTGCTGTATGGATAAAGGAAGTTGTGGTTTTGCTTACAGTATACAGGCTCTCAAATCTGAAGTACTGTCAACTGGAATATCAGAAAAGCATATACCGGTACTCTATTTTTCAATGCACTTGTCTTATTATTATTCAGATAGCATCAGTCTGAACAAATCAACAGTAATATTCAAGAATCAGCTCCCTTCTTGGTTCCGGTGTGGGCGCGGATGCTTCCGAGGTGATTTGTCTGGTGCCGGTTCTGATCTGTCTGTGCAATTATTCTTCAGCACTGATGCACGTTGGGATGGGAGCACATTTTTTATACTAGTTTTGGTATTGGTGGTCACCCAGGTATCAACCAACAATGTTACAGATGTCTAATATAAGGGTGTGCAATTAATCAAAGCTTGATAAAGTTTATTTTGGGATATTTTGGTTTATTTATATGCATAAGTGTATTTATTTAATTTTTTAAATATAGAGATTGTAGAACAGCTAGATATATAGTTTATTTTTGATACATTTATGTTTTTCTATGCCTTATTTCATGTTCAAAGTACATTTTATTAATTTTATGTTTTATACATCGCAAAACTGTCTAAGGTACAGATTTGTAGCCTATGTTTATTTTTTATTTGAAAGTTTCGCCTAAATTATCAATAACAAAGTGAGGTTTTTTGAGAGATATGCTGAATAAGTGCATCGTGTGACTAAAAAATAATCGTTTGAACAATCGTGATTTCAATATTGACCAAAAATAATTGTGACAATGACTTTTTCAGTCAGTCCATACTAATTTATTTATATTTTGTGGCAGTGTTCGTTAGTATTGTTAGTTTGTTGTTGTTGTTGTATCCCTCAGTCATCCAGGTAAATTGAATTTCTTCTCTTGCCACAAGTTGTCTTTTTTTTTTTTTTTTTTAAAAAGGTGCACCAATGTGTAACTTTCCCAGTGGAGGGTTCGTCGCCTGCTTGTCTCCATGGTGATATTGCCTAAAATGTTGCACAGTTATTTATCTCTACAGAGACAGCAGGTGACACCACTGGACCAAGTTACATCTCAGATCTGTGGAGAGGGGAGCACTCAGACAGTAAGAATGCAAGTTTTCAGGTCAATAAAACCACATGCTATTGATTAGGGATGTAACAATAACCAAAATATCGTGATATCGTATCGTCAAAAGTCTCAGAATAATATCATGGGCTGTCACAAAATATATCGAATTACAAGTCTCTTTGCTTAACTTCATTGTTATGGTGCGGCATCAGCTAAAAAAGCTGAGGGAACTACATAAACCATGATCCTTTGCTTCATTTCAGCACAGACAGCATGAAGAAATGATGTTGTAAGCACTTTTAAATCTTAGTTTAGTTTGGATTAAGACTTGCCAAGGCATATTTAAAAGGAAAAAGTGGCATATTCACAATTTTGTTAGCACTCCACAAAATATCGCAATAAATATCGTGTTGTGAAAATGTCGTATGGAGGGATTTGGATATCGTAACATTCCGACTTCTGAGTAAATGCAGGATGGATACTGGACAAAACAATAACATCTTCATGGGCCGTTCACGAGAAAAGTTACACAGTGCACCTTTAAAAGAACGTTTGTGTACGTTGAAGAATGACTCAAAAGCATTTCAGTTGCTCGTAATTGGCCTATAGTGAAGTGCTTATGGCTAAATATTAAACCACAATTCATTTTGTCCGACATTTAGCCTTGAGGCAGATTAAATTGCTAATCTAATTTTTGCGTTGGATATTCTCATAGGGTTTGAGTGGCCGAATGCCTGGGAAAGAGCCAAGCTATTTTAGAGGATGAAATAAAATGAAGCTCTTTAGTCATATTATGGTGATTACTTCAGCGTTGATGCAGATTGAAAAAGAGAGTTTTGGATTTGTACATTTGTAAAAAGAGTTTTGAATTTGCTGTTATGACAGAAATGTGGCTCATATTCTTGACCCCAAAAGCTTTTTCATTACAGCGATACTATACTGAAGAGAAGAGGTGCCAAGACTCCCCTCTCCCCAGACAGTTCCCTTCTCTCCTCCAAGAAATCACAATACAGGATTTTGGAGTATTTCTGAGAGATTGTTTTACCTTGGCTTAGAGGGTACAATGCCAAAAATACTACAAATGATACTATACAAACATGCCAACGGGTCTAAAATATTACCAGTCAGCAAAAAAATAAGTAGGATTTTTGGCTTTGTGTCATTCCAAATTTGTGTTGAATATCACACTAGAACCCACTGAATTTACTTTATGTATTAAAGCAACGGTCCCCAACCTTTTTTGGACTGGTTTTAGCCAATCGATCAGCGAAGAGTCATATATTCTGTGTTGGCAACGATTCTCGAGATCAAGGATTTAAAGCCGGAACAAAGAGAATGTTTGGTGAATTTTATCAAGGGGAAAGACGTTATTGTCCTTCTTCCTACGGGATTTGGGAAAAGCTTAATAAATCAGTTTGCCCCGTTAACAGCTTATTACATATGTCACGACCAAATAGCAGCGATTGATTAAATAAAAAAGTACCCTTCTACCGTAGAGCGAACTAATTCTAATGCTGCGAAGTCAGTCACAAAGTGAAACCAGCTGATACCATACATACCTCGATACATAGGCCCCTATACGATACATATCTCGATACAGTGCACTTTCAGTTCAATATGATATATTTCAAGGCAATTCGATACAGTTCAGTAAAAAATAATGGCTAAATCATGGCTGCGATATTAAAAGTCTTTGTTATATGAAATGATATCGCACCCCCTCCTCCAACCCCCCATTCTCCGACGTTAAAATATTTCCAGCGGCACTGAAAACTCTCTCCGATCATGCGCGTGGTGTGCAGATGCACATGTACGTGCAGATATAGTGTGTCGTGGGAGAAGTAACATTTGGCTTTGGAACAAGTGTCACTACATCTCTCCAGCTCTCACTGTGGCAGCTTGGGTCAGAGTCCTGCACCAGGTCGGGTACCTGCGGACTTAAGAGAGCGAGCCCCCCTAGTATGAGCACGCGGAGCAGGTGTCCGCACAGCGCCATCGGATGACAGCTGCGTTTACCTTCATGCAGCGTGGAGCTCTATGCCGGTCCTTTCGCCTGCGGTCACCAGTCTTTGCAGGTGCACCTTAGTCCTGGGTTAGTCCTGGGTTATAACGGGTCCGGGCGGTTGCGGGTCTCTAAAAATGGACCCGTGCAGAACTCTGGGTCGGGTCATGTTGGTCACGTGCGGCCACGGTGGGCTTCGTAGTACCGCGGTGATTCATTTTTGCGGTTATTGCGACAGCCCTAAGTTACATGCACATCTTTAATCATCATAACGATACTCTTGGCGATATATCAATACAGCAGTTCCCGATATCGATACCGTATCATTACATTAAACCATACAATATATCAGTATTTCAATATTTTTGCACACCCCTACACTGAAAAAATGGTCTGAGAGGGGTTGCTCAAATTGCAAAAACAAATTTGACAACAATAACATCACTTTTTTACGTTTCTCTGTCCAGCATGTTTAAATCTTACAAACATCGCTTGATTGTGGCCGATGTTAGACCTGCATGTTTTAATCAGGTTGAGGAAACATGACTTTATTATAATTTCTGGTGAGGCTCCTCCCTCTGGAATTCTCCTCCCCAAAACGTTTTGGAGGGAAAATGTAGCAGGACACAGGACAGTTCCAGGAGCAGAGGACACACAGTGTGGAGCAGGAGGATTATGAGAGCTGATCTGGAGGTGAGACTTTTAAAAGATTTTATATGCTTCTCCGGCCTAGAATGTTGTCATTGTGAAAACATGTTTCTGATGTTTTATTTGAAATTAGAGTTAATGTAATGACTGTTTCCATGAAACAAATTGTATTTGACTGTCCATCTACAAGAGTTTGACAGTTGTACTCAGATTTTAATGTGTTGTTTCCAGAGTCGTCTACAAACACAGAGTGACGTCCAGAGCTCTGCTGGAGCTGTGGGGAAGTTCATGAATGTTATAGTTGATGTTTCAGAAAAAAGGAAGATGTTTGAGAACCAACAAAACACAGACCACAGATGAACAAAGTAAGTAAACCAACTAAAATGATTTTAAACAAATTTTTCAAAATGAACTTCCTTTTGAAACAGTTGTCGTCTTTCTACAGGGTGATGTGACACTAGGAGACTTTATACCAGATGCCCTCCCTGTTACTGCGTTTAGAGGAAGAAAAGCAGCACATGGTGAGTTTTGTTTCTGCAGATACAGTTCTAATGTTCTTGTTCTTCTGTTCTGGTCCATTATTGTAGTAATAATTGCTATAAGTGTATTTAAACATGTACAACAGAGTAGATCATCAGAATGTGATCATCATGTGTTATTCTGTGTCCACAGGCAGAGACCAGAGCTTCTTCACTGGAATAAATCTTCACACTGTCCAGCTCCAAACTGTGTGTCTCTGTCCCTGTGCTCTTTGTGTTTGATTCTGTTTAAGACAAAACAGAACTGTGGAAATCTAACTAACGACTGTTTTTGTATTATTTTACAGAATTAGATCAATTAAATTATACATACTTATACATTTCACAATAAGGTAACATAAGATAAATCTGCATATTCAGCATGATTTGATAAAATTTCATCAACGTGAAAAAGTGACATTCATGTTCTGAGAAAAATATGTGTAAAGGGGATCAAAATAAGTTTCAAAGCCTAAACATAATTTTATTGCATGCAACCGCTTTCCATAACTTTTTTACACCAATCCAGCAACCTTTTTTTTTTCAGTGTACATGTAAAAAAAACAAAAAAAAAAAACAGATTCAGAACCAAGCATAGTCTTGACAAAGATATAAAAGAATCAGGCAAAAAGTACAATAATGGCATTTATAAAACACTTCAAATCCAGTGCAATGTGTAAGTATGAAAAAGGAAACCAAGTTGTTGTGCATAATAGTGAAGATTTCTGTTTGCAGTTGATTAATAATTGTGCCTGAACTGAAATATACTGATGTGAAATGTTTTAAAGTGACTATCTGTGTTGATGTTTTGTCTGGAAAAGGGAAAAAGCGACAGAAAACATAAGACGAATTTTCTTTCTGCTCCTTTTCATTTCATTTCTTGTGATACTCTTAATGTCTTTTTCTACTTTATGAACGGAATAAATACACAAATAATAATAAAAAGAACATCATATTTGTGTATTTCTTCTCTCCAAGGCTAAAAGATCAGTCACTTTGGTTAGATCTGTGTTTGTTTGGTTGGAAATGTCCCTTACCTGTCGTTTCTGTCGTTCGTGTGTCCTTCAGGCGCCTTTGACCTGCTGGTTTACACCGACAAAGATCTCGTGGTCCCCGAGAAGTGGGAGGAGTCCGGCCCTCAGATCATCTCCCAGTCGGAGGAGGTGCGTCTGCGCTCCTTCACCACGTCCATCCACAAGGTCAACAGCATGGTGGCCTACAAGCGCTCAGACTCTCTGTGATCCTGGGATCCAGAGCCGAGTCTTTGTGCCTCTTCCCCCTCTGCGCTCTCGTGTAAATATTCTGCTCTCTCCACGACTACTGTTTTGTTTGGTCTCCGTCAGCCTGTTTTAGAGAATAGTTTTTTGTATGTTCAACTTTTTAAAAAGACCAAAAAATAAAGGACTACTATCTAAAACATGGAGCTGTCATTCACACGTTTTGCCACTAGATGTCAGTGCAGCACATCTCTTCTCTACTGTTCTACTGTTTATTTCTGGGTTTGTTTATTGTTTACATGTCCAGAGAAAATCAGATAACTGTAATAATCAGATAACCCGACCTTTAATCTGATTGTGGTGTGTGTTTTACGAGCACAGAGGAAATTTATTATCAAAAACACCGGTGACACGTGTTATTTTAAGACTCATTTGTATTTACAAGTACGATTCATTTTAAAATAACTCTATCTTTCACATTTTCAAATTTTTGTCTTGTAACTTAAATTTTTTTGGGGCATATTTTTCGATAGACAAAACCTGAAGAAATTTGAATACTCTCATCAGATGTAAATGTTATTGATGGATAGATAAGGCCTCAGTGTGTGTCACATTTCAATACATGTGTCGACACTGTTGGTGCATGGTTAAAAAAACGAGTGTGAACAATCAGTGAAAAGGGGTAAATGAAACACTGAGCTTAATTCTTTCATGAAAGGTAAAAGGTAACACAGCACAGTAGGCTGCGTTGTGATTGAACATTGCCTAATCCTTGTACATTTTACAACGGAGCTGGAGGACAGGTCAAAATTCTATGGTGGAATTTGCTGTTTAACTGTCAGAATGCAGATTTGTTGACCTGGACTCTGAGCCATAAGATTAATAGGACAAATTTGAAGAGTTTGAGTCCCTAACAAATAAAGATCAAGTTCAACATTTGTGGATCATCAGTTTGGATTTGTTTTCAGAATCATCCAAAAGGCAAAACAGTAGAGTTGTGTCCCTGCTCTCAGTCTGAAGTTACCATATAATTATATTCTGGATTGTGAATGAGCAACTGGTCAAGATGGTAATGTAAATATAAATCCTGATGCTGTGATCCCAAACAAATGAAAACCATATTTTACAATAAACTATAAATTATACACTGAATGTGACGTTTTATTTGTGACATTTGGTAACTCCAGAAATCAGATAATGATCAGATTTGTTTATGCACATAGTCACTGGCTGTGGTTACATGCACACTCATAATCAGATTATTATTAGATTTCTTCAGTTATAAGATTATTAAAATGTCATGTCAACATCTAATTTCTTCCTCTGGCAGCCTCCAGCAGGGGGCGGCAGTGCTCCGACCTGCCCACCAACCTCATGCCACAAATCATCGATTAAACTCTTTAAAGAAGCTTGATGTTTGCCAGTGGTGTAAGTGCCTATTATAATCACTAATATGGTTTAATTCAGTGAGTAAACAGCAGTAGATTTGCATTTAAGAGACGTCTTTCCACACATTCTTAGGGGAAGGTGAACGCTGTAGAGTTAAGATTTTTTTCGGCGTTCCATAAATCATCAATCAAATTTGATAATTGAAGCTTGTGTAAAGTCATTGTTAAAATATATGGAAATAATCACATATATCTCACTAGAAAAAGTTTAATTTAGTTTTTAAATCAGCCATAAAATAGTAATTTAGATACAAATTTTGAGAAAAGGCGGCCATTTTGATCTCTAAAGTTGCCAGAAAATTGAAAGTCACGTGAGTTCTATAGAAATAAATGGCACAACTGTGACAATGTCAAAAGTTAAAAGGCCAAATTGTGAAATACATAAATTTTTTCAGGTGGATCCAATGTTTCTATTCTACAGTTTTCCGTGAGGATGGGTTGGGTTTTGTATAAAACTCTCATCCAGTTTATGACGGTATAAAAAATCCAAACTCTTTGGCCTGTGAATCCAGTTTGGTTCAGGTTTTACAAGTGATAGAATCATTTTTGATATTCTTTTAGTCAATATTAATGACAAAAGTTTATGATGTGTGTTTAACAAACTAATGGGCCTATAGGAAGCACAGTCTGTTTTGTAGACAGTGGTTATAATTCTGAAGTTCCATGTGGTTGCCCAGTTAAGGACATAGTTGAAGACTTTATATAAAAGTGGATCAATTTCTTGGTTAAAATCTTTATAAAACTAATTTGTAAAGCCATTGTCGCCTGGTGACCAGTGTTGGGAAGGTGACTTTTAAAATGTATTCCCCTACAAATTACAGATTACATACACCAAAATGTAGTTTGTAACATAATCCACTAAATCACTAAAAGTGAGTAATGTAATCTGAATACTTTGGATTACTTGATTTTCTGTAGAGAAACAAAGACGAGGAAATCTTCACATAAGATGTTTTGTCTGTTAAAAGAAAATAAAAAAGCCCAAACTTTACTGAACCAAATTAAAAATATTATTGATAGAAGACGAGGAGACACGTCCACACAGCAGGATTTAGTCCTGTTAAATCCTGCTTTAGTCCTGGTTTAGACCTGGTTTAGTCCTGGTTTAGACCTGGTTTAGATCTAGTTTTAGACCTGGTTTAGACCTGGTTTAGACCTGGTTTTAGACCTGGTTTAGACCTGGTTTAGACCTGGTTTTAGACCTGGTTTAGTCCTGGTTTAGACCCAGGTTTAGACCTGGTTTAGACCTGGTTTAGATCTTTTAGTTTAGTCCTGGTTTAGACCTGGTTTTAGACCTGGTTTAGACCTGGTTTAGACCTGGTTTAGTCCTGGTTTAGACCTGGTTTAGATCTAGTTTAGACCTGTTTTAGACCTGGTTTAGACTGTTTAGACCTGGTTTAGACCTGGTTTAGACCTGTTTAGACCTGGTTTTAGTCCTGGTTTAGACCTGGTTTAGACCTGGTTTAGACCTGGTTTTAGACCTGGTTTTTAGACCTGGTTTAGATCTAGTTTAGACCTGGTTTTAAACCTAGTTTTAGACCTGGTTTAGTCCTGGTTTAGACCTGGTTTTAGTCCTGGTTTTAGACCTGGTTTTGACCTGGTTAGACCTGGTTTAGATCCTGGTTTAGACCTGGTTTAGACCTGGTTTAGACCTGGTTTTAAACCTGGTTTTAGACCTGGTTTAGACCTGGTTTAGTCCTGGTTCAGACCTGGTTTTAGACCCAGTTTAGACTTGCTTTAGACCTGGTTTTAGACCCGGTTTAGATCTAGTTTAGACCTGGTTTTAAACCCGGTTTTAGACTTGGTTTTAGACCTGGTTTAGACCTGGTTTAGACCTGTTTTAGACCTGGTTTAGATCTAGTTTAGACCTGGTTTTAAACCTGGTTTTAGACCTGGTTTTAGACCTGGTTTAGTCCTGTTTTAGACCTGGTTTTAGACCCGGTTTAGACCTGGTTTAGACCTGGTTTTAGACCTGGTTTTAGACCTGGTTTAGACCTGGTTTAGACCTGGTTTAGTCCTGGTTTAGACCTGGTTTAGACCTGGTTTAGTCCTGGTTTAGACTGGTTTAGACCTGGTTTAGACCTGGTTTAGACCTGGTTTAGACCTGGTTTAGTCCTGGTTTAGACCTGGTTTAGTCCTGGTTTAGACCTTTTAGACCTGGTTTAGACTGGTTTAGACCTGTTTAGACCTGGTTTTAGACCTGGTTTAGTCCTGTGAAAAAGGAAAATACCGGTGTAATCCATTTATTTCAACAAAGTAACTGTAATCCAATTACCACTCACTGAAACAGTAACTGTAACTGAATACAGTTACTCATAATTTGTACTCTGATTACATAACTCCAGTACATGTAATCTGTTACTCCCCAACACTGCTGGTGACATGTTCTTTTTCATCCTGTTAATATGAGCATTTATATCCTGTTCAGAAATTTCCTCTACAAGGTTTTCATTTTGCACTTTAGTTGCTTTGGGAAGTTGTTTTATTCAAGATTATTTGCAGCACACACACCTCCATCATAACTGGATTGTTTTCAAATGGACAGATCTTTTTGTACTTCAAGCTTTAAAATTGTTTTCATTCTTCTTTGAGCTTCTTAATACAGAGGTATTTTTGGAATCACAGCACCATAAGAAAACAACACAGAGACACCAGAGTGGAGAGAAATCTATGACACAGTAGTTGAACTCAGTCACTTCCTCATGCTTAGACGGGTTCAGAGCAGGGGGCGGGGCATGTCTCTTCCTCCTGCACACGACACTCACTTCTGTAAAAGTGAAACTAACACAGTCATTCTGACTGAGTGGAGACATGGCGCAGCGAGCTCTAAACCAGGAAACCATAACTTGTCCCATCTGTTTGGATCTACTGAAGGAGCCAGTGACTCTTCCCTGTGGACACAGCTACTGCAGAGACTGTATCCAAACCAACTGGGACCAAGAGCAAAGGTACAGCTGTCCTCAATGCAGACAGAGCTTTGTCCCCAGGCCTGTCCTGGTCAAGAGCACAGTGTTAGCTAATATAGTGGAGGAGCTGAAGAAGACAGGGCTCACAGCGCCCCCTGCTGACCACTGCTCTGCTGGACCTGGAGATGTGAGTTGTGATGTGTGCACTGGGAGGAAGCTGAAGGCTGTCAGCTCCTGTCTGCAGTGTCTGGTCTCTTACTGTGAGACTCACCTCCAGCCTCATCGTGATGTGGCAGTACTACAGAAACACCAGCTGGTGGCGCCCTCTGACAAACTCCAGGAAAACCTCTGCTCTCAACACAACGAGGTGAAGAAGTTGTTCTGCCGCACAGATCAGCAGATCATCTGTTACCTCTGTTCTGTGGACCAACACAAGGGCCATGACACACTGTCCACTGCAGCAGAAAGGGCCCAGAGACAGACACAGCTGCAGGACAACAAGTCCCTGCTGCTCCAGAGTCTCCAGCACAAAGAGACAGACCTGAAGAAGCTCCAACAGGACGCCCGGGACATCAATGTCTCTGCCCAGAGAGCACTGCAGCAAAGTGAGGACATGTTCTCTCAGATGGTCCTTCTCCTGGAGAAAAGACGCTCTGAAGTGAAGCAGCAGATCCAGTCTGAGCACGAGACCAAACTGAGTCAAGTCCAAGAGCTCCAAGACCAACTGCAGCAGGACATCTGTGATCTGAAGAGGACCATCTCTGAGCTGGACACACTGTCCCTCACTCCGGATCATAACCAGTTTATACTGCACTGTCCTCCACTGTCCACACTCACAAAGGAGAC